CCCAGAGCCACCCTCTCCCCGGGACGGGGTGATTTTTGCAGAGGGTCTTGCTGCAAACCCCCTTTTCCGAGTGCATCCCCAGGGATACCCCAAATGTCATCGGCCGGGGATGCAAACCCCTGATCGGGGAAGGTAAAGCAAGGCCAAGGTTACCCAAGGCGAGCCGCTCCCCCAGCCCAGACACCCTTGGGAATTAACAGGTAAGACCAGTTTTGCCTTATCCCAGGAAAAACCAGTTTAACCCACGGCCTGACGCAACCTGCCAAGATCGCTTCGAAATCTTCCCATCCACCCAGTATAACCCAGTGGGTGTTTGGGGGGAAAAAACCTACATTTTTAGGGACAACCGGCCGGGTTCCAGCGCTGGCAGGGTTTTAGTTGCATCATGTTGCTATCGGTATCATGGAAATCCCCTAAATAAACAAAGTTCCCCCCTGCTCCTGGAAGTGATGCTTTTAATTTTCATTTTTACCAGAATTAGGACAAAAACCTGCAAAATAGTCCCCAAAATACCCCAAATTTTAAGGCAAAAATCGGCCGTTGATACGGGCAAGCAGGTAAATGGGAGGGGAATTTGGCCCGGGCGCTCGGGCTTGCACGCCGAAACCCATCCCGGCAGCGAGGGGAATCATCACCGCCAAATTATTCCTCCTCAGCAAAAGCCCTTTTCAAACCCCAACGTTGCACCGGCTTTTTTTTTTTCGGGTGCTGATGGGCCGAGGCCGCCGTGCCTCTCTGCCCTCCTTCCCGGCGCAGCGCATCGCGCCGGAGTTTTCTGCATCCGACCTTTGATCTCCCAAATCCTGCCGGAGCGTCGGCGGGACAGGACATCGCCGCACCGAGATGCTTCGCGGATGATTCAGTAAGTCATATATTAATTTTTTATCCCCTTTAAACCGCCGCCAAGGTTATTTTTTCTGAAATAACGCCGGGGTTCTGCCAGCGGTTTGGCATTTTGCGGTGTTTTTGCAAATGGTGCCCACCAGCAGCCCGTGGGGCCAGGTCCCCAGATTGCAAATGCATCACAAATTGCGATTGCATCACACATTGCGATTGCGTCACGTATTGGAAATGCATCGCAAACTGCAAATGCATCACATATTGCAAATGCATCGCAAATTGCAGATGTATCCTATCCCAGTGTGCCTGGACGGGACGGCACGGGGACAGCAAAAATGAAGCTGCTAAGAAAGATCAGGGCAAATGCACGTCTTCCCCTCCTGCAACACCTCTCTTTGCAATAAAGGGAATCTTCTCCCGGTAAAAAAATCTGCAATAAGGAGAATGAGCGCATCTTCCCTCCTGCAAAACTAAAATCTTTTTTGAGATGGAGTGCGTCTTCCCTCTGCAATAAAACTTTCTTTGCGAGGGAGGGCATCTTTGCTCCCGCAGAAATCTTTGCACTAAGGGGAAGGAGCGCCCCTTTCCTTTGCAAAAACTCTACGTGGTAAAGGGAATGTGTGCATTTATTTCTTGGGGAATAAAAAGACTTTGCAGTAAGGGACTATGTGCGTTTATTTCTCGGGGAAAAAACCCACTTTGCAATAAAGGCAATACGTGCATATTTTTCTCGGGGAAAAAAACCCTTTGCACCGAAGGCAGCAAGCGGACTTTTGCTCCTGCAAAAAAAAAAAAAAAAAAGGTAATTATTCTTTGCAACAAGGCGTGCATTTTCCTTTGCAAAGCAACGAACCCCTCAGCAAGGAGGGGAGCGCCTGCACCTTTGCTGCTGCAGGCGGGGAACCCCTTTGCTGTTTGCTCTCGAGTCTTCCCAGCCTAAAGATGGAGCTGTGCGTGCCCAGCTGCACCCTGCAGCCTCTTCCTCTCCCAAGCAGGATGATATATTTTTTTTTTTTTCCCCTTTCCTGCCCATACATGTGTTTCTGTTTTGTATTGTAGCATTTGTTCTGGCGGCTCATATTTACATTTTAAGTGCATCTGGTGGGTGGGCGCTAAGGGAGGAAAGGGAAAAAAAAAAAAAAAAAAAAAAAAAAAGAGAGAAAAAATTCATTTCAAGCTGAAGTATTAGTGACATTACTAAAACACACACTGAAGATGGGTAAGGCTCAAGTAATGCAGAAAGGTATTTGCAGCTTAGAAGGTAAAAAAATTCATTTAGAATACTCTTTTAATGATCAGGTAATTAAAAAAGTACATAACACCAACAGCCTCAGGTATTATATTTGACCTATCACCACTGGAGGGGATGTAAGACTTTCTAAATAGCTTTGGAGGTATATTGTGATTTTGAGAGTTTAAACCTGAATAAAGCCGCCTTGTAGCAGCCACAAGATAACACAAAGCTCCCTGCATAAAATGCCATTGAAAAATAGACATCAAAGGTTTGAAGAACTGCTGTGTTCCTTCGTGTACCCACGGTGCTGCTGCTGCCAGAGGCCAAACTGTAGCATAACATGTATTTCAGGAGCATTTTACCCCCTCAAGTCACAAACCTGAAGAGTGGTACCAAAAAAAAAAAAAAAAAGCCACACCAAACCCTGCACCCACACCCACAAAAAAGAAAGGTTCTATTCTAACAAATAGAATTCTCCTGAATAAGCACTAAGAGATCTACTATGTGTCTCTGTTTTAAATCAGACAGGAACATGAAGCAAATAAACCAACTTTTTGTTTCATCAGAACCAGCCACAAAGTCAACTCATTTTCTTCCTCATCAGAAAACTTTAGAACAAAATACACCTGTGATCTGCAACATGGGAAAGACATGGGCTCTTGATCTGACTCTCAGATAGTGCTCAAGGAGCTGCTGGCAAGGATGGAGAACATCTCAAGAAACTAGGAAAAAAAAGACTGTGTGCATCAACTCGGTAACCCAAGCTTTAAACTAAGTTCAAAAGGAAAAGGCAAAGCAACACTGCAGGTAAGTGACAACGAGCTATACAACAGCCTAACACAAGGTGAAAGGGTCATTCTTGCCAAGGAAGGAGCTATAGTGGGCCAGTATGCTAAACACCCTAGAGATCTGTGTGTTAAAACAAGACGACAAGAATTACGTCTTGAGTTGTTCATGATTTAGAAGCTGTAACAGCTTTATTAGGATAACTCATCTAACCCAGAATACCAAGGTGAATAACAACAGATGGGGGCAGGGGCGAGCTGCTGTCACCTTGTACATTAGGGATGTGTACGCTTGTCTCCAGCCCCCAGAAGACAGCGTAAGACAGACTTTTGAGGGTATCGGGGAGGGGCAGCACATTACTGCTACCATGGTGCACAGAACACAACCACCACCTGGGAAATCATTCTAAGACTTCTCGGTGAAGGAGAAACAGTTGAGAAAGTAACAAAGCAGGACAAGCCATCCAGGAAGACCCTGAAACGCACACCATTTAATTTAGAAGACAGAGAACATGGTCAGAATCAAATCTGCAGGAGCCCTAGAGAAACTGCTCAAGAAGAGCAGGATAGACAGTAACATGGCTGACTCCAGGGTAAGGGTCCGATATCCTCACTGGAAGAACAGAGAGCAAACAAAACTAGTGAACTACAGTGACCTTGGATTTCGTACATTTCTTAGAAGAAAATTTACTGAAGGAAAAATGACAGTTCCTTGAAGAAATCAGTATAAGATTCACAATTCCAAACTACTGCAGTGCAAATTAAATAGGAAGGGTAATAAGGAACAAACTTGGGTAGATCCATCACCTCTTCTGCAATCTCAAAAAAGCCCAAGTGAAGTATTATAAAATATAGAAATTAGTACATATTAATAACTATGAATAAGAGCAGCAGGAAAAGCATTGAAGCACAAAAAAAAAAAAAAAAAAAAAAAAAAAAAGTGCCACTGACGAAAACCGTAGTATTTAAATGCAGGGCATTTTTGTATTTTCACACACACACACACACACACACTAAAAGCATTCAGCACCAACCAGCTGGCTTACACCTGAAGTCCTCATTGACAGGGAGCTCTAAGACCTCAGCCTTGGAGAAGGAAATATTACAAGTATTCACGAGATAACTTTTCAAACTGTTTTGTTTTTTTTTCTGGTGAGCCTTATCCCAGGACACTTAACCTGCTGGCAGCTCCAAGACTGCTTTGATGAGTTGTCTCTCGGAGCCTGTGGAGAACCACAAAGCAGCAAAACCTAGAGTCTATCTTCAAAAAGGAAGAGCCAGGAACCAAGTCAACCTTATTCCAGAATCTTTCCAAGAACTGAAGTAACCAAGCCTTTTAATAGCACTGCAGTGGTGGGAAACCTGACACAGATGGGTAGCAACCAATATGGGCACCAGTAAGCAACTTGTCCAGCCTTTTAAATTTACTTTCATAGCAGGATAAACAGGCTTTTTGGAAGGAAGATGCACCAAATTACTGCAGATGTTAAAAGACAATGAATTCAAGATCTGACCATATTCTATTAAGCAAGGAATGAAAGTTGTTCTTGCCCTTCTTGAATTTCATCCTTTATTTTTCCTTAGCTTGCTTCTCCAACTTAACGAGGCAACTTTCAATTCTGAACCTGTATACAATATCTTCTGCATATATAATAAACTTAATCTTGCTCTCAAATTCACCAGAGTCATTAAAAGCACTGAGAAAGTAAGAGGTAGGATGCTTGTCTTTAAAACTCTGTTCAGTGCAGCCTGCCATTTTGACTGTGAACTGTTAAGTAGTTCTCCGACTGTGGTAGCCCAGCTAGTTAGTACCTCATCTGCAGCAGTTCTCCTCCAGGGACCATGCAACTCATAAGGACAAAAAGCTAGGGTCACAGAGAGTTTAAAAAGTGTTTCTTTCCTGGATTTCTTTGGACAAATGAACCATGCAAGTCTATATGAAAACAAACCAACCACAAAACCCCAACGTAGAAATAAATTAATAGTTTTCAACTTTTACAGGTGCCTAAATATTCTCCAGTGAAAGCACAGATGCCACAATGTGCCAGATGCCCCCCACGTCCCTGATGTCCCCCACGTCCCCCATGTCCCCCACATCCCCGATGTCCCCAACCCGCTGACGATGCCCCCGCTCCTTGCAGAAACTGGAGGGCTCCAAGTGCCGGGGGCAGCTCCTCATCTTCGGGGCCACCAACTGGGACTTGATCGGCCGCAAAGAAGTGCCTAAGCAGCAAGGTGAGGGGCGCCGGGCTCCCGCCGAGCAAAATGCCCCGCTCTGCTCTCGGCGTGTGCACTCCTCCGTCCTCTTTTGCTTATTTTTATAGATTTATCGTTCTTTTTTTTTTTTTTAATTCATTTTTTTGAGGATTTTTTTTAAACCAGTTGCATGTCGTAACCTGGGATGGGGGGTGTGCCCGGCCTCCTGCGACGCAAGATAAACGTGCTGCTTATTTTTTATGGGTTTATATTTTAGATTATGTATTATTTTTAGATTTTAATTAATTTTCCTGCTTATTTTTACGCATTTATATTTAATTAATTAATACTGGGGCGGTACGGTTGCATATTGTCATCTGGGCCGGAACTTGGGGTACGGGGTGCGCCGGATCTCCTGCAACGCAAAATAAAGGCATTGCTTATTTTTTATGCCTTTATATTTAACTCCTTATTTCTGCTTATTTTTTATACATACCTATTTAATTATTTTTTAATTAATCAATGTTTTTGGAGGGTGGCTTTTTTTTACAGTTGCATATTGTAATCTGGGCCAGACCTTGGGGTGCGCTGGATCGCCCGCGAAGCAAAATAAATGCGCTGCTTACTTTTTATGCCTTTATATTAAATTAATTTTATTCCTGCTTATTTTTAATGCATATATATTTCATTAATTTTTTCATTAATTAATTTGGGGAGGGGTTACAGTTGCGTATCGTAATCTGGGCCAGAATTTGGGGTGCGCTGGATCGCCTGCAAAGCAAAGCACAATAAACACGATGCTTACTTTTTATGCCTTTATATTAAATGAATTTTATTCCTGCTTATTTTTAATGCATTTATATTTCATTAATTTTTTTAATTAATTAAGGGGGAGGAGTTACAGTTGCATATCGTAATCTGGGCCAGACCTTGGGGTGCGCTGCATCGCCCGCGGAGCAAAATAAATGCGCTGCCTATTTTTACGCATTTATATTTCATTATATTGTCTGCTTATTTTTAATGCGTTTATATTTAATTAATTATTTTAATTAACTAATTAGGGGAGGGGTTACAGTTGCATATCGTAATCTGGGCCAGACCTTGGGGTGCGCTGCATCGCCTGCAAAGCAAAACAAACGCACTGCTTACTTTTTATGCCTTTATATTAAATTAATTTTATTCCTGCTTGGGTTTAATGCGTTTATATTGAAGGAATTTTTTAATGAATTAATTTTTTTCCCCTTTTTTTATTTTTTTCCCCTACAGTTGCATACCGGAATCTGGGCCAGAACCTGTGGGGGCCGCACAGGTACGGGTGTCTCTCAGGTATTCAGGTGCGGAGCGTGGTGTCGGGACCCTGCGCCGCCCACAGCCTGCTCATCACCGCCGAGGGCAAGCTCTGGAGCTGGGGTGAGCGACGGGGCGGGGGGGGAGCACCCCAAAAAACCCCCGCCGCGCTGCCGGGAGGCTTCGTCCTCCCCGTTTTGCTGCAAAAAATGCTGATTTTGGGGGCTAGGGCGCAATGAAAAAGGGCAGCTGGGCCACGGGGACACGAAGCGGGTGGAAGCCCCGAAGCTCATCGAGGTGCTGGGGGGCGAAGCCATCGTGCTGGCAGCCTGCGGCCGCAACCACACGCTGGCGCTTACAGGTACCGGGGCGGGGGGAAAAAAAACTCACATTTGGGGTGAATTGTCGAAAATCAGCCCATTTTGCCCCGTCTCACCCTTTTTTTGTGTGTGTGTGTTGTAGAGAGCGGCTCGGTGTTCGCCTTCGGGGAGAATAAAATGGGGCAGCTGGGGCTGGGGAACCAGACCGACGCCGTGCCCAGCCCTACGCAGGTATCGCCGCTCCTTTCTGTGCCTCCCCTCCTGGGTTTTGGGGGAAAAACCAGCAGATTTGGGGGTTTCTCATTGAAAAAAAATCCCTAGCAGAGCCCAAGCCCCTTTAGGATGCAAGCGCATCCTTCTCGGGGAGGGATTCATTTGCAGCTGCGGTGGGAAAATAAAATGCAAGAATTGAAAATAAAACCCCAGATTTGAGGATTTGGGGGTTTCCCCCGGGAAATTCTGGTTTTTACCTTTTTTCTCCCTTTTTTTTTAACCCCTTTTTCTGCTTCTCCTGCAGATCATGTACAACGGGCAGCCCATCACCAAACTGGCCTGCGGGGCCGAGTTCAGCATGATCATGGATTGCAAAGGAAACCTCTACTCCTTTGGGTGCCCCGAGTACGGGCAGCTGGGTACGCCGCTGGTTTGGGGTGCTTTGCTAAAATTTGGAGCTCTCATGGGCTTGGGGGGAGGGGAGGAAAAAAAATTCCCTGCCTCAGTTTCCCCATCTGGGCACCCAAAGCATCCCCCCCCTTCACCTCCAGCAAAAATAGCGGGGCGGGAGCTGCAACTAAAAAGGGGGTTGCAGGAGGAGAGGGGATTTCTGCAGCTGGCTTGGAAATGACGGGGTGCAGGGTGGGGGACAGCCCGTTTTCATCCCGGTGTCCATCCGCAGGGCATAATTCGGATGGGAAATTCATCGCCCGGGCGCAGCGGATAGAGTACGACTGCGAGCTGGTGCCGCGCCGTGTGGCCATCTTCATCGAGAAGACCAAAGATGGGCAGATCCTGCCCGTCCCCAACGTGGTGGTGCGGGACGTGGCCTGCGGGGCCAACCACACGGTACGGGGGAGCGATTGCCTTTAGCCACAGATACCTGCAGCCTGCGTTAATTTTGCAGCATGCATTGAAGGGTAAATGTTTGCAGGAGCATTAAGGATAAGATTTGCAGCGTGCATTGAAGGGTAGATGTTTGCGGAGTGCATGTAAGGACAAATGTTTGCAGGGTGCATGTAAGGCTAGAGAATCGTAGCATGCATTTTAGGATAAATACTTGCAGCGTGCATGTAAGGATAAAGTTTTGCAGTGTGCATGTAAGGATGAAGATTTGCAGCGTGCATTTAAGGATAAAAACTTGCAGCGTGCATTTAAGGACAGAGATCCGCAGCATGCATTTAAGGATTGAAATCTGCAGCATGCGTACAAGGATATATATTTGCAGCATGCATTTAAAGGTCAAGATTTGCAGCATGCATTTAAGGATAAAGGTTTGCTGCATGCATGTAAGTAGAGAGATTTGCAGTGTGCACATAAGGATAGATTCTTGCAGCGTGCATTTAAGGATCGAGATTTGCAGCGTGCATTTTAGGATAGAGATTTGCAGCATGCATATCAGGATCAATAGTTGCAGAGCGCGTTTAAGGATAAATACTTGCAGGGTGCATTTAAGGACAAAGATTTCCAGCATGCATTTAAGGCTAAAGATTTGCAGGGTGCGTTTAAGGACAGAGATTTGCAGGGTGCATTTAGCATTTGCAGTACGCACTGCCATCGATGCCGTTTATTGTGGCTGCTGCGGCTTTCCCTGCACGGAGCTGGTCGGGTCTCAGCTGCTGATGGTTGGGGGGGACGTTTCTCCATCCCCAGCTCGTCCTGGACTCGCAGAAGCGCGTTTTCTCCTGGGGGTTCGGGGGTTACGGGCGGCTGGGCCACGCCGAGCAGAAGGACGAGATGGTGCCTCGGCTGGTCAAGCTCTTCGACTTCCCGGGGCGCGGGGCGGCGCAGATCTACGCCGGCTACACGTGCTCCTTCGCCGTCAGCGAGACAGGTCGGGATTTGGAGGCCTTCGAGGAAGCGCATGGTGATTTGGGGTGTTCGGGGGATGCCGGAGCTTGACGGGCAATGTCGGGCTTTGCAGGTGGGTTGTTTTTTTGGGGTGCCACCAACACCTCCCGGGAGTCCACCATGTACCCCAAAGCCGTGCAGGACCTCTGTGGCTGGGAAAACCGCAGCCTGGCCTGTGGGGAAGTTCAAGGCCCCCCCCCCCCCAAAAAAAACCCCGCAGCTGGGGGGACACGGGGGCACCCTGCCTTGCACCCCGCTGCAGGAAGAGCAGCATCATCGTGGCAGCAGATGAGAGCACCATCAGCTGGGGTCCCTCGCCCACCTTCGGGGAACTGGTAAGAAGGGATTTACCGGGGACCCCCAACCCCTTGACACCCCAAAACCACCCCCTCCAGCCGCTAGCGGGAGGGACCGGCTGCTTCTCACCCCCTCCGTGGGGTGCACTTGGCAGGGCTACGGGGACCACAAGCCCAAATCCTCAACGGCCGCTCAAGAGGTGAAGACCCTGGATGGGATCTACACAGAGCAGGTGAGCTGGGGGCCCCGCCGGAGGAGGCTGGAGGGAGGGCACGTGGACTCCCCCTTAAATAAATATGGTGGCTGAGGCCATACAGAACTCATCACGCTCATGGGATGCTGGAGGGAGGGCGTGTGGACCCCCCGTTGAAATAAGTACGGTGGCTGAGGCTGTACGCAACTCATCACACCCATGGGATGCTGGTGGGAGGGTGCATGGCCCCCCCTGCTTAAAGGAAGATGGTGGCTGGGGCCGTACACAGCTCAGCACACCCACAGGATGCTGGAGGGAGGGCGCGTGGACCCCCCCCTTGAAATAAATACAGTGGCTGAGGCCGTACAGAACTCATCACACCCATGGGATGCTCAAACATGGCCCTGGACAAAAGCGGG